CAGCTGACTTGGGGACGCCTGGGGTTCTTAAGTTGATTCTGTATGTAAGTCAGAACTGGCGGTCAGTTTCAGCAGTGTCTGAATCTGGACGCCAGTTCCGACTTACATACAGATTCAACTTAAGAACAAACCTACAGTCCCTATCTTGTACGTAACCCGGGGACTGCCTGTACATTAAAAAAATGTAATTTAAGAAAAAACCCTACATAGCAATGAAGATGTGATATTAAAATATTATGATGTGCATTTCTAAAGTATCTGTCACTCTAGAATACATCATCAATATAGATGTCAGAAGAAAGAGATCCTGAAGTGAATTTAGTCCATATGTTGTGATTGAAAAAAATAACTGAAAAGCCCAAGAACAACCTAGTACATGTTACTCCACAGAAGCAGTAGTATACATAAGTAATGTTTTATATACATACATACACTCACATACAGCTCAATCAGGAATTCTGAATAAGATAAAACATCAATTTGAACCCAGTCTTTGTGTACCCTGAATGACCTAGTCGTAACACAAAACTGATTGGAAGAAAATAAGAATATTGTAAATAAACAATCCACACCCTGCTCCCCCAACAAAACACCAATATCCTTAACTTTGTGGTATTGTTATACTTTACCAGGCATGTAACAAGTTGTGGTCTGATGATACGGAAGATGTGGCATGCAATCTTAAACATCAAACTTCTGACTTATGTTGAACAGAAAACCCATAGCACGTAGTATCCCAAAGCAAATACCAAGCAGCACTTTGAAGAGCTGCTCTTAAACCTGTACATGATGAAAAAAGCTGGTGCATTTTCCAAAACCTTTGTAAAACACTTCTTCTGTATTTCTTTCTCCATCTTTGCAGATTGCAAAAGTTTACATTTGTAAGAAGAAAATTTATCCTTTGATAATCTGCTTCCTTTTCCTACATAATCATTTAAATCAGTATCACGGTGTGTGTATTTCATGTGCATACCTAGGGAGATAGAATGATTAAAGGAATATATAGGTTCTGATTAATTAGGACAAGCTTAGGGCCCAATCTTGGTAACAATGGGCAAATTCACCCCAATATTATAATGAATCTCACATTATTTCATGTTTTCTCAGTCTCACAGCTCCTGTAGAGAAGCGATTGTGAGAATCTCAGCTTTATAGTTTTAAAATATAAAATTTCTAGCCCACATGATTGCAAAGCTTGAAAATACGAACCAAGGACACCCATAACAGCTCAGAAGACAAATAAATACTTTTTAGAATAAATATCACGATTTTTAAGTCCATCTCATGACTTTGAAGGGGCCTGATTTATTTTTTACACATAGGAGTTTGCCTGCATGGCCTCTCAGTATCCCATGTGCAGAGAGATTGGGGCAAGGAGCTAGAGGAAGAGAATATTACTATTTCCCTATGTGAGCATGAAACCAACGAGTGGATGCAGTCATAACTTCACCTAGTTCACCCAAAAATGCCAGTAAGTGCAGCTGATCTGCGTTGTGGGAGAGGGTTTGTAATCTACATTTAGGAATATTGGAGCAGATTACTTTCTTCTGGACTGTCAGAGTTCCCTCCCAGGGTTACTTCAGGAGCAAGCAACACAGCTACAAATACCCTTTACTACTGGATTAGGCCAGGCTGGCAGCCTTGGGGGGGGGGGGGGCGGGGAGGGGGCGACAGATTACGTTTACAAATTTCCAAAAGGGTCTGCATCTCCATTAGAAAATTCTAGTGGGCCGCAAATTAAAAAAACAGTTGAAAAACCTTAGACTAGATGTGAAGGTATGATGTAAAATATTAGCTAAGAAAAATATATATTGGTGTAACTTTACCGCAAAGGAGGGATGTTAAATATCAATTAATTGAACAGTTGAGTAACCTCATGAATTCTTATCAGTTAGTTGACTATTCTATAGTCCTTTGGGGGTGGACCAGCAGCAGCACGGGGTGCCAGGCGGGAGCTAGTCCACAAGGGAAGCCGGTTTAAAAACCAGCTCCTCTTGCAGACCAACTGCTCATTGCCCTCATCTGCTACCTCTAATAAAGCAGCAGCAGTGCTGGGTGGCAGCTGCCCCTATCTGTGTGGGGGTGGGGTCTGTGCTCCTGGACAGAGCATGAACCAGAACTTCTCCTAATATACTTTAAATGCAGTCACAGCAGGGGGTAGGTCCCACACCCGATGTGAGCCAGAACTGAGCTGGGCTGCTGGCCAGCCTGCTAAAAAATTTACTGGTTGTGGAAGAGGGAGGGAAATGCGTGTAGTCTACAGCATTAAACTATAAGATTTTGCTTATAGGTTAATCGGTTAGTTG